ATAAATCTAATATTTAAGCACATATCTATTTGATTGTTTCAATTAGAAATCAAATAAAAATTTTATAAAATATCTCGTCTCATCTAAAACTTTAAGAAAAATTATCAGTATTAATGCTCATGAAATCCTTTTTTTCCAGAATTAAATTTAAAACAAAATAGAAAAATCTAAAATGTTAAGTAAAAAAAGAAAAAATATTAATTGAAAACAAATTATCTATTTTCAAGATGTTTGCAAAGAAGCTGACGTATTTTTGAGTTAATTCATGTGATTGCACTCTTGAAAAATATTACGATGGTTTTTATAAAGAGAAAAATAATAAAACTACTGACTTTTTTCGTCTATTTATATCGATTTCTATTGGCATTGCCTGATTATGTATTCTTCTCACTGGAGAGTTGCTAGTAGTGCGCATGGCGTACACATAGAACACACAGTTCGTAATCCATTCGTGCATCAAACACGAATTGAAGTGTACGAATGTCCTGTACAAGTACCGAAGCGGTGCCACTCGACCTGAGCAGGCATCTGTTGAGGACTCGCTATCAAGTCACGACATCTGTTGTACATCGCTATATATCTCAGTCAGGAATTATACTGTATGTCCAACTGACTGGTGCAAAACTTTATTCCACTAGAAATAATTAAACCACTCGAGATTTAAAAGAAAAAAATCATCTTAAAATTCTTTTTTTAATAATCCAAAAACACAAAGTTTTCTTTGATTGTAGGCATTGTAAATGGTAAGTACTTTCAGACTATCACTCCTATAAAATATTCAAACTTTTACTCGTTTAGAATCTAATGAACATCGAAATTTCTTTAGCTTTAACGGCGGCTGAACAGCAAAACCAACAACGCCGTAATTTAAGAAATAGTCGTTCGCGGGGACAAACAGAGTTGAATCTTATCGATGGAATAACAACTTACTTACATACAACAGCAGCAGCAGCAACAACAACAACAACAGCACCGTCATTTGCTAATGAATTTTCAACAAATGAGCAGCCTTGTTTGTCTGAAATCATATTGACAAATAATAATTTTTATGATATTGATTTTGGTCCAGTGGAAAGCATCGTTGATGAAACGGAATCTGTTGATATAGCTGACTGTCAAATCAATGATGATTATTTGACTTTATTGAATGAACTTTCTTTGTCTTGTGGTAGCCATAATTCTGCATTTCTCCATTCGTACACAAACATCACGCAAAGTCAGTTTTGTACGAATCTTCTCCGTATTTTTCGTGATGCAAATATATGTAAAGCGTACTCAGCAAAGATATTACAATTAATTAATGTGGCTCTTCCACATCCAAATAATTTACCAACATCGCTAAACGCGCTATTAACATACATGCAGGGTAAGTTGTCGCCGCCTTTTAGCTTTCTCATCAGTATTCCTGAGCAATGGGTATTTTTCTAAATGTATTTTAATTCTTCAGTAATATGTATATGATTTCTGTTCAATTTTTAGTGGAAAACTTATTCTTTAAAAGAAGAATATGTTTATCATGCAAATGTGACATTAAATACACGACTAAAGAATGCTTGCAATGTCATTCGAGTGATAAGATGAATTTTGCAGATGTCTTTGATACAGATTTTACAAAATGTTTTAGTGACATTGTGGAAAGAAACGCTGCTAATATTATTCAATATCGCCAGAAGATCATAACAGGACAAAACAATGAAAATAATGATATTCCATTTCAAAATATTTATCAGTGCTTCCTGAAGACAGTAATTCATCAACCGTTCATCAGTGTGATTCTACATCTGGATGGCATTGGATTAGGAAAGTCTAATAAACTAACGTTATGGATTTTATCTTGTATGATTGTCGAATTGCCACCTCATCTTCGAAACAAACGCCAAAATATGATACCATTGTCGTCTTGGATTAGTTCTCGAGAACCAATAATTGATATTTGGCTAAGTGAATGTATACGATACTTGAGAAACTTTAAATCATCGGGTATGTCAATGAAAATATATATGTAGTTCTATATATAAATAAATATGGTAGAAAGTAAACTAAATGGTGTTAGTGTCTGCCATTCAAAAATTAAGTAAATTGTTTTTCTGCTATCATCAGACAGTGTTCATACAGCTATATTAGAAAAATAAAAAGCCACAATAAAATTAAAATAATGTTTACAGCGGATGAAGAAAATATGAGACCATATGCTGATTGATATGGTCTATTAAAACTTTCAGTAATCTTCTAAGTTCAATGCTAGGTGTGAAAGAAAAAACTATTCGCTCCAAATATGTAACGTTTTATACATGAAAAAATAGACCGCATTAATCCATATCTGGAGTCATCTTTTCTTATTCTGGTCTAAGCTATAAATGAATTTTGTTTCGGGAAAAGCCATTTTCGAATATTAAAAACATTTTGCTACTAATGCAACTAAACAAGTTCTGCATAATGATAGACAAAACAATTTACTTAAGATACCTATTTTCGTGACTCAAATATATTTCACTTTTTACCTGTTTTTGTTTTGAGATTTGAAATACCTCAACCAGTCGCTATATTTGTTATAGAAACGAGCATCTCTTTTTTCTCGTGCCAAAACTAATTTGTATTTAGATGTTACTGATGATGGCGTGAAGTATAGAAATGTTTTTTGACACAAAAATCTATATTAACCAGTCAATTTGATATACAGTAATGTCTTAAACATGTTTTATAAGCAGCCTCAGAGGTCTAAGTTATTCATGTCTCAAAGGGCATCATCAATTAGTGAGCATATGAATCATACTTTTTTTCTTTTGTGAAATTAAATCGAGTAAAGGTTTGGGATATGTCCTAACTTAGTTATGATAATAAGTCTCGTCTATCTTTCGTATGTATATAGAATAATGAAAACATTTTTTAAAACGATCTTGATTTTAATTTTTTATTTAACAACGTTATCTGTTAGAAATTTAAACCTAAACATTTTTAGATAAACGAGGAACTTATAAAAATAAAACTGAATTATTACTGAAACAGGTATTTAGTTTTTTTTTCAAATTCTGAATATATCCGTGGTGACTGGACAATTCGTCGCAAGACACTTCGTTGCAACAACATAATTGAATTACAACGTGTATGTATTCTTCGATTAATTAAGAAATTCATTAAATTCTATATGAAGAAAAAATGAATTGAACAATTAGTAAAAGTATTCAATGAAATGGTATCAATATGGTTTCCATTTTTCGTGTGACTTCGATGTTCAGCTATCTTAACATTAAAAAACATATCAAATCTCACTTCGAAGCAACCATTAAAATTGTTCAAATGTAACTATTAATTTCAAGATTCCGAATTCATTCATCTACTAATTAATGAAAGATTAATTTAAATCAACTGATCTTATTTGAAATGGAGATAATAATAATAATTGACTGTCGCTCGGGTCACAGATTTTAGTGAAAATCTCGAGGCTTTCGATGAGAGATTAATTAGTTGCTATAACTAAGAATATTCAGTAAATAATACTTATTATCGCTATCCTCCAACTACGTTCATACAGTCTTGATACGTATCAAATTTTAGTGCATTGNTTAGTGCATTGTTTCGATCTATTATAGTTTGTATATGACACTACAATCGATCTAACATCAAAACTATTTTTCCCCTTCGTAAAAATAATCAAGCGGTGTCAATGGAAAAATGGAAACCATATTGATACCATTTCATTGAATACTTTTACTAATTGTTCAATTCATTTTTTCTTCATATAGAATTTAATGAATTTCTTAATTAATTGAAGAATACATACACGTTGTAATTCAATTATGTTGTTGCAACGAAGTGTCTTGCGACGAATTATTCATGCGACTAATTGTCCGGCGACTAATTGTCTTGCGACGAATTGTCCGTGCAACGAATAGTCTGCGACGAATTGTCCTGCGACGAATTGACCTAGTACCTATATCCGTCTCATTTCATCGTTTCGAAACATTGCTTTATTAGTTTTCAGATTAATCTCAATAAATGATGAAAGTTTTTACGACCAGAAATTGTGGCAAAATTAAGATTAAAGCTACAGCATTGAAAATTTTGCATAACATTATGAACAACTCATTACTTGGCATTCCGTTATCTTCAATAAATCTATACATATGACAGCTTTAAATACTACAAGAAATTGACTATTGTGTTAGGTTTATCGCGCCTTGAACTTGATAGAATTGATATGGTCATTTTTATATATATGTGAATACTTGTGAGATTTTGTCAATGATAAAAAAGCAACGCTTTCTAGTGTTCACATTGAGTGGTATGACAGAAATAAGATTTATTTTACATCTGATATATTTATTCACCAACCGTACCACATCTAACGTAAATTTAAAAATAGACTAGACAATATTATCTATATCTTAAAATAGTTGATGAGTTTCGTTTTGAAAAATGCCCTAAAATTTCTTTTTAAAATTCGACCAAGATTATATAGAAAGGAAAATAAAACATTTTTTGATTTTCTCTGCGTATTGGGATTTACTTTCGTTTGAGTATGAAGTAACGAAACTCATATACTTGCTTTATTAATGCTCTTTAATGCGAGCTTTAAATAGTGATAGTTAACGAAATCGTATCATTTTAGTTAAGAAATATTAATTTTTTTCTTATATAATTTAGGATTTTTGATTCATGGCTATCAGCGATGGTTTATCTATTTCATAGGAGTGATCGCCGATTGTCCAGCCATGAAACTAGTGCTTAATCACATTGGCCATAATGGATATTATTCGTGTTGGTACTGCAAAGTGAGCGGAATTCACACCCTAAATAAAAGACAATATCATTTTGAAGAAGTACCCATTATGAGAACAGTTGATACTTATATGAGTGAATCAACCGAGGCTGAGAAAGCTGGTGAAAATATTCATGGTCATCTAGGTACATCCATTCTTCATCAAATTCTTGATGTACCACTTCCTCAATCAATAATTATGGATTACATGCACATCACATTGCTTAGACATGCACGCTGTGTTGTTTTACAACTGTATGCCAGTATTAAACCAAAACAAAGAATTGAATTGGACAATATACTGCGTCATCAACGCTTTCCGCACACATTTAACAGAAAAATGCGAGGCATAAAAGATACACATATCAAGTATGTTCCACCTGAAAATAATTTCATCCATAATATTACATCGATTTTTTTCAGGTCATACTAAAATTTTCAATTCTATAAATGATTTATATTCGAGCTGCAAACATAAGTTTTTCTATCTCAGGCTTCCTGTATGCTAGCACATGCTAATATCGGGTTTATTTAGTTATAAGTTGTAGAAATGATAAAAATTGTCGTTATTTGAATTAGTGCTTCACGATAAATTCACCAATAAAGAATCACAAGGATAAACTCAGTTTGAAATTGGTTACCGTATTTTTTCTCGTTGGCCATCTGTTTAATATTGTTTCTCTGAAACATGCCAAGAAAAAATATTTCTACACAGACGATCACTTGATAATTTTTTAAACAAGAAATGCATATGGGATATCTTGTGGAGAATTCGAAACGCATTGTGCCGGAACTTGTATTTCGAGCATGCAGCTAAAATTTGATATCATGCTTCTATTTTATCTTCTCTTAGTTAAGAGAGTTCAGCTAATAATAACATTGTTATTTAATTGTAATACAATTAATTTACGGCAGACATCAGCATCTTTTTTGCTTGGTTATAGGTGTCTTTAAAAACATATTTATGCTTGCGTACTTAGTTCTATCCCTTTGATGCAGTTGTTTTTATCAGAATAATATGAATAATGTTCAGGGATGTAAACAGTAATTTATTTTGTATAAGCTAATATATAATATAATATAACTGATGTTGAGTAGGATGAATTGTGAGTACTTCTTGTAAGTAAAATGGTTATTAATTCTGGACTGATTTCCTATAACTTTTCTTATAAACTAAGATCATCCTTTTCAGTTGCATAAATCATCAGCAAACCCAAAGCGAACTAAAAAAAGGCAACTATTTTTGTCTTCTTGTTTGATAATGATAAAGCGAATCAAATGTATGTATTCCTTAATACCGAAAAATATGATATAAATTTAATAAATCGCAGACATCGAAATAGATTTAATGGAAAGAAAAAAAATCGAAAAATTGATTTCATAAACTGAAAAGAGAACAATTTATCCTAAACTCTCATTAGAAGAAGATTAACTTATTCTGAATATATGTGAAGACTTCTTCGATAAAAGCCCGACATATTGTTCTTCAATTCATCAGATTCGAATATGAAAAAAGTCTATTATTTTACAATGGAACGTGTGTTATCTTCTAGAATTGAAGCACAAATCATTTAGATCATGATATTATTCTAATTTTTTTATAGGGCAACGGAGATGAAAAATCTCTTATTCTATGGCCTGTTACCATCATTTTACTCTTATATTGCAATAGAGAAGGTTGCTCATATTACTCTTTTTATATGTGCTATACGTGTGAGTGCTTACTTGTCACAGCAACAACTATTTTTTAACTATCACCTTAATATACATATTAGATGTTACATGGCGAGAAACTATTTGGATCTGAGACCGGTGTCTTAGCTCATCAACTTTTAGTTGCTTATTATAAAGATCACACAAAACATTATCATGGGCTCGAGAATCTAGTTCTACATTTACATATACATTTTGCTTCACAATATGAAAAGTATGGCAGTTTAAATTACACGAATTGTTTTGGTCAAGAAAGCTTTCTTGGAGCATTTTCAAAAAACAAGCATGGCACTCGTCATTGGGGAGACTTGCTTATGCATTATTTTAATGTTAGTTGTTTGTTAGATTTCAATGATAAGATGTATTTTACTTTATTTTACTTTAGATAGATTTTGCTTTGCAGAACAAGAATATTGAGCATACGGCCAATAATTTCAATATGACAGAAGGACCATTTGATGCATCACCTAAATCAATTAATATCGTAGAAAAACTTATTATGTGGCATGAACATGAGTGTGGTTGTAATCAAGCAACAACTTGCACTAAGATTTACAACCGTTGCATAATTAACGGTACAATGTATCATTCTCTTGGTTATACCAAACGTCAATCGTCAATGAGTTATTTCGTGAAGTATACCAATAATGATCTCTCTATACTGTTCGGATCAATAGAATTGTTTTTTAAGTACAAAGATTTTACTTTTGCTCTTATCAATCATCACATCAATCAAAAGGTATTCTCCGACATATTTTCTTCCACGTCTTATCATTCGCTATTATCGAAATGCATTAATTCCTACTATTACATTCTTCAATCGAAGGCATCATTATGTCATTACGTACCTGTACATCATATATTGAACTTATGTGTTGTATTCGAGAAAGAAAATTTCATCATCGTAACTCCTATTTCGAGAGGTTACGAACATGATTAAATAAAAAAAAATTTAATCACATTATTATTTGTATTTTTGGAATCTGATTTAATTGCTTGTAAATAACATATCTTCAGTTGTTTTGTTGGGTTGATCTATAGAAATTTCAATCAATCCGCTTATCTAACTCTGATAAGGGAAAACTTCTGATAACATCATTTGATTCTCATCTCATCATTTACTCTAGGATTCTCAGTTGGACTATTTATTAATCATATTTATGTAATCGAAAGTTAAATAGGGTTTGATAATTCGCTTAGTTTAGCCGATATATAAGACAATAGATTTTATCAAAATATTGTATTGATACAAAAAAATTCGATATATTAACATGTTTCATTTCAATATGTCATACAACTATAGCAAGATCATTAAAAAAAGTAGCACAATCGTACTTTATCAGAGTTCATGTTGTAGGAACGAAGTAAAGATAAAGATCACTGGTATAATTATTGTTCCCTTTCATCTCATATATGAAAAGAAAGATTTGTTTTAAACAAGAATAAATTAGAAATCAAACTTTGATCATCTTTAAGAAGGACATGTTTTACAGAATAAAATATAAATCCGTCAACAATTCCTAAAAACATGCCCATCTCGATGCTTTCTATTTACTTGTTTCTCTGTAAAGATAATAATTTAGTTCTGAGTATAGCATTAAATGAATCACTCTATTACAAATATAACTGATTGCTAATCTTCAGCAGTTGTACCTCGATTTTATCAGAAAATTCTACTCATTATATATCTAATTTTTACCAACCGTGTTGTATACAAAAAAAAACTCTTGTTGCATGAAATCAACTATATATCGGATATTTTCAGATATTTTCAGATATATTGTCTTAAAAATGAACTTTTCAGTAATAACAAGTGGCAGTCGTCGCAAGCGTGTTGCTCGTACCGTATTTACGCCAACACAAACAGCAACCATAATTTCAAATTATTACTTGCTGCATTTTATAGAGACTGAATCTTATCAAATCGCTGCTCGAAGCAGCATAAAAAAATTTGATAAAGAAGGTTTTGCAACACTTCAAATTCGCAGAAAAATGTTGCAAGCAAAAATTATTCTCGCCGGTAATTTTTAATAGGTTGCTCTATTTTTTTCTTATCCTTATTCTGTAGGTTCTCTTGACGATTGCGAGAAAGAACTCACACGACAAGCAAATGCATCACAGCAAGAAAGCCATAATGGTTGCTCTTTTTCTTAAATTTTTATGGATTAATGTTATGTTGATATTGTAGACTGTATTAATGACGAAGAAAATCAATTAGATGAAGAGAATGACGAGATTGATGAAAATGCCACCAACACAATATACAATCAACATCGATTGGCATCTCAATCTCATCATCAATCTCATCCTCGTCTACAATCTCAATCTCAATCTGAGTCTCAACCTCGTTTACAATCTCAATCTCAAGTTCGTATGGGTCGATCCATCGAGTATACGTGTCCTTCAAGTAAATACCTTTAAAAAATTTCCTTATTTTATGCTACTTTCTTGATATGTAAACAATTCATTTTTCAGCAAATGGTGATGAAGAAGATAGTGAAGAACATAGCGATAGTGATGACACGTTCGAAAATAACTCGGCTCCAATCAATAAAAGAAAAAATATGGCAAATAATGTGACAAAAAAGAAACAGCGACTCAATAGTAAATTTGTTTTTTGACTAGGCACTGTGCATTCTAAATATTTTTTTCTTCTAGTTGATGATCAAACAACGTCCAATCGATTAAACAATCAGTCGGAAACAACATTTCCTGGTAAATACCATTGTGACCAATGTCATCTACCTTTCTGATAATGACAAATGACACGAAAAATTTTCAATTCATTTGTCATATTATTATTATTGGTTTTCTTAGCTAACCACGCGTGAATCTTTCTGAATTACATCCAAGTTTTAAATTTCATTCGTACAATAATATATAACTTAACTTTGTACGTTTGTTGATGAATTGTTACTGCTGCATATTGCTAACGATTCGATAGAAGACTCAGTTTCAAGAGAAAAAACCGAAAGATGATAATATGATCAATTAGTTTTGAATTTTCTTGCCGTGTTATCTTTACGAGGCGAACATTAAAGAAACTTTCATATTTATTAGGTGTTTCAATTTTTAATCTAATGGAACGCAAGTTTGATATCATCGAAAAAAGATTATTGTCCATTGAAAATCATAGTGGTGAAAAAATGGCACGTTTAACAAAGAAAATTGACAATTTATCCTCAGCATCAATTATCGTAAAGTGTACTATGTTTATGTGTATAAATCACTTTTCTTTTTTAGAACAAGGTAGCCATTGATACATATCGAGATGAAAATAATGAAAGTTTTCGAAAAGATCTGGTAAGAAATATCTTTTTTTTTATCAAAATAAATTTTGTCGTGTAGATGTATGGTGATATTGATTTGTTACAAACCATGGGATCAACGTTTGGAGACTTCGCAAGAAAAACGATGAAGATCGTCTTTACTGAAGAAGAATTAAAAGAGCGCATTTTACCTCCACAAAGATCTCATTTGTCTCGACCGAGCCTGGATCTTGCAAAATTTCGAATTGTTAATGGTATGAGTAATGATTGAAACGAATTTCAACAGTTTAAATAAAATAATTGTTTTTGGTTTTTAGACGCTATTCGCATCAAATATAAAATCGACTCAACGAAATACGATGCGTTCTACAAGAATGTATTGAGAAGAAAATTATCAGATTTCCTTATAGAAGAACGTCGTAGAGAGTCAATCAAATCAGCCCGAGATCTTATTCGTACTCAAATGCAAACAAACCCACCTTCATCTCATCAACTCATGCCAGTACTAGTGAATGTTGAATGAAATCGACTTAAACAGTAATGTTGTTCTTCATCTTTGTTATTAAGATTTTTTCATGTTTTTGTATTTATTGTTCTTATTCGTATCATTGTTTTTGCTCATTTTATCATGAAAACAATGAGAAGATGAAAATTCGTTGTATATGGTATTATTCCTAAAAAAGATTGCATTAACAATCATTACCTGATTCTCAATCTGTATTTATCACTTAGGAATAATAATGCCGTCAAAACTAACTTATTTTTTCTCATTGTGAACTTTTATTCTTTCTATGTACCTTCTTTTATGTTTGTCTTTCTTCATCTATCCAACGGATAAATTTGAACACCATTGGATATTATATCGATACATTATTAGAAAATTGATGAGAACAACAATAAAGCAAACATATCTAAAAGATGAAGAATTTCTAGCAAAATGATCACAATCTCTATATCTGTTTCTGACTTCAACTATGATAGCCTTGTAAGTCGATTTTTATCGACTTATGTATGAAGAGGATTTAACTTTAAAGGAGTTCATTTGATCTGTAAATTATAAATATATTATTACTTCAGAAAATCACTATAAATTGAAAAATGCTATTGTACAAACTATGAGAATGTTGCGGAAACAAGTAGATCAACAACACAATTACTATAATTATATCAGAAACAAAGATAAATCGATAAAAAATATGTTATGTTGTAATCAATGATATTCATCATGGTACTATAAATGTTGTCTTTTAAACCGGGCACTATGATTCCTTAATTTTCTCACATCACTAGTTCTTTATAGAAATAATTATATACATATATGTATATTCGGAATGTTACATTACTAATGATCTTGTAATGGATTGAAACGTCGTATGATTAGGTATAAAAAAGAAGAATCCCATTCAACATTAAATTTTTATTTTAATTATATTCTTCTGTTTTTTATTAACAATTTGATATTTTGTCTGTCTGTAAAGCAAAAAAAGCTTTCATTGTGTTGTACCTTGCTCTACATTTAAATATTTTGAATTAAATTTCATTTGAATAAAAAACAAGGACACGCTGATGTTCTGGATAACTATAAGAAGATGGATAATATCTCGAAATTTTTGAAATGTTTAAAGTTTTATATATTTTATAGGGAATTAAGATCTTGTAAATGAAGAAGCACGAAAAATCAGCTTGAAATATATCATTCAAAATCAAACAGCAACCTGGATAAGTCTGCTGTTGTTTTACATTTCAAAATAAAACAAATAAAATCGGTGTCACTTGATAATTACAATTAATGTGTCGTATTGATCTTTTATTATGATCACATTTTTTAGATGGATATTTAAATTGAAGACTTTTTTTCTAGTGAAACAGGCCTATCGAAATTAAAGTTGTCATCAACATGATGTGCTTGTATACACAATTAATACTTTCACTGGAGAAGATAAGACACGATTGTCAAATGAATACTTCTCAGAATATGAAAAAAATGTACAAGATCCTTCGATATTATTGTAACGTCTGATGTGTACACAAACAATTATTTTACATAATGCTTCTCTGTTGACTGTTTTATTCTTGAATATCCTGTATATATTAAACATCATCTACGCTTAAATAAAAAACAAAATAGAATAAAAGAAGACGGTCTTGTGTAATCAATGTAGGAGAAAAATGGCGCATGTATAATTTCTCAACATCTGTAATATTATATACAAGAACGGCTACATAAACAAAAAAAACATCGATATACGTGAAACAAAATTAAAAAACATGATGTGTGAAGAAAATAAATGTAGAAAAAAATCATTCATATGACCTTCTTCTACATAGAATCAATTCTTGACAATATAATAGGATTAATGCTAACTTTAAAACAATAACAGTAAGTATATATAGATAATTTTAAAAACAGAAATGAAAAACGAAACATTGAAGTATATCATAAAAAAAGATAGCTGTTTTATATACATTTTTCGACAATAGTGAATCGTTTTTTTAGTTCAAATTCCAGTACTCTTATCATCACTGGGCTTCGATTTTTTATTTACTTTCTGTAAAAGATTCGCTCTTTTCTTTTTGTTATAGGCCGAAGAAGAAAAATAATAACCAATAGCACGACGAACTTCAACACCTGATGCATTATCAACTGGATTCACGTATTTTGAATATTCTATAATATAAACAATTTTAGAAAGAAAAAGATCAATGAAACAAAGTTTATACTGATAATTCCATCGATTATAAATTTGTCGACATTACTTAATTTGAAACTTGGTTCAGGAGTTGGAAATATAAATCGTATTAAACATCTTGCCGTAGCTGTTTGTGTCTTTTTATGGCACTTTTTCAATTGTTCCTCACTCATTTTAAGTGCATCCATTATTTCAATCAAGAATGGAGTCGTATCGACAATATCAACTTGATTCGCTAGAATGTTACTTATTTCCACGAAATACTGGATAACATCTGGATGCTTTGGTTTGGCTGAAGTAAATAAAAATTTAAATTTATCTAATGGTTAATGATAGAAGTAAGATTTTCTTTTATTTGATGATTGTTTCAATGAAACTATAGGTACTATTATTATTTGAGAAGTTGACATATTTTTTGCTACAAGATAGATTGATTGTGTTTCGATAAAGCAACGCAACACTTCAACATAAAAAAATCTGAATTGTTTTATCCTTTCACACATTTTTTCTATTCAGAAACAATCTATATTATTATTGATAATCTTCACTCGCAGTAAAATGCTTTCTAATTATCAATGTTTCTAGAAAATGCAGTACTTACGAATCCATTCTTCTTTATATTTCTTGATTTCACCTTCTAATTCAATGCATTTTTTTTTTAATGCTAGTTCATCGGCAGATGATGAGCTATTGATCGTATGATTATACATTTGTTGACCAGATAAACTACTACTGTTATCATCATGTGGACGTTTTTGACCTTGAGAATTTGAATAGTCTTAACATAAAAAAGACATCTGTATATATGGACATATGTTTATAAAAAAAACTGACTGTTCGAATGATTTGCTGTTGAATTTATATCTTGAGGTGATGGAAAAATATTTTCTTCATTTTCGCACATGATATTGTTCAATGACGAATCATAAGTAGTTTCGTTCTCATCGTTTCCTGTTTCTTCACCGTTGAATTCATGAACTGTTGAATCATTTTCTTTTTCTTCCGTATTTGGATTCCTTGATTCGATTGGAGCAATGCTCGTGGCTTCATAGCCTTTGCCGATCAGATTCATGGATGTTGAATCAATTGATGCAGCATCTAGATGAACATAATAAAACGTAATGATTCTTGCCTACGTGAAACTCACCTATGGTCTGCACGTGAATTTTTTCCTTAAGGATTGCAGCAGATTTACTTGTAGGGTTTTTTTTTGTACGCATTCCAAAAATAAAATTTAAGTAAATTCTGAAATTTAAAAACGAGAAAACAAATATGATATTAGTAGATTTTGGTCGACGTTTTGCTGTCGATAAATATTCAATATGTTTTTAGGTTGTCTAAAATGTAACTTTTAAAACATTACCAGGAGAAGATGAAAACAACAATTCTAAAAATAAAATTTAGAGATTCATCGGCATATCTGTGTACTGCTTCAGAAGAGCGTTCTATAAGAAGAATCGAAACATTTATATGTTTGCTATTACTGATCAATAAGTCCTCTTTTCAAGCGTTTGGATGACCTCTACTGAAATATTCCTATCATGGCAATATAAAATAAATGTCATTTGAAATGTTTATGTAAATGTTTACAAAAATATGAGGTTCTAGAAAAAAAATTAGGTGAACCCTTTGCAAGTATAGATGGTGCTAATAAGTGACACTTATACATATGTTCCATGAATATTCGATCATAAATTCTGCTCATGATAAATCGTAAGTTCTTCAAACTAAACATCACGTTTCCCCCAAGCAGTAATGAGGTCTTTTTTTATCTGTGCGTTTCTTTTTCGGGCTGCAGAAAATTAAAGCACCATCAAGCTCAATGTGCCTCCTGAAAAGGAAATCAAAATTCATGCAGCCGTCGTCTTGAAATCAGTCTATTGCAGCTTTAAAATTTTACAGATTTCTTCTGGGAGACCTTATTAATTAGTAGATAAAATAAAAATTTTATTGATTCTATAAAAATTTATTTTGAAATCTCAGTCGATTTTGATGAAACAAAAAAACTGATAGTAGGATCAGTGTTTTTTAATAGTAAGTACCACAAGCAAAAGCAAAGTACCAGAGCTACTTACGATTTTGAAAAGGTTTTTTGCTGGAAAATGGGAAAAAAAGTGTTGGTAAAATATGGATTGGTACTTTGCTTAAAATTCCTATTAAAAACAATGAGTAGGACTGTAGCATGAAAAAATCGAATAATCTTGTGAAATCTGTGGTCGGAAATTCTACTACTTTTTAATGTCACTTTGATTATCCACCATACAGAGATGCTGCCAATTTTTTCTACTTTTTAAAGGCTCACGGAATCATTGAAGTCAGATGTTTTTTCTAAGTTTTAGTCATAAGGAACATACAATTAGAAAAAACGAATAAATCATAATTCATCCACAACTTCCTATTACTAAGAATCATAAGCTGGATAAGCATGTTACGTCAAGCATATCCTCTACTTGAAACATATATGGTAAACATGAAAAAATCATAGAAACACCAAGAAATATTGCCTGAACTGATAAATAATTGTCAGCGTTACAGCA